TTGAGTGCATAAGATTGGTGCAAATCCCAATAAGGAGCATCTTCTGTGACTGTAGAATTGTATTGTGGACATAGTTTTAAGCACTGGATTTGATATTACATAGACTTGGCCTACCCAGTGGGGTAGTATTCATATAGCAGCTTGGGAAAGTTTTATTTATTTTGTTCTATTTTTAATTTATTTATTTTGTTCTTTTTCTAGTTTTTTTTTTTGGTTTTATTTTATCCATGTGGTAGGACTCCTCAGGCGCTGATTTAATACGTGATAATGTCCTAGCAATGTCCTGGGAGTATTCCAGTCACTCTTCAGGTGGTAAGTAAATGGCCTAAACCTATAGCAAGGCATTTTTTAACTTTAGCCTGAGCTGCACAGTTTGGCTTTATGTACAGACACCCCTTACCTGCACAGGTAGTTTTTGGCAGAGGTGAGTTAACCCTTTAACCCTGTATGAGATCTGATAGAGGAGTGGAGCAAGGGGGAGTGGATGTACGGTAAAGGCAAGTATCAGTAGGTGAGGGGTAGGTTTTCAAGAGACCTGTTCTGGACTCTTTTGAGAAATTAAAAAAAGGCTATTTTTTGGCAGTAAAAAAATTCCAACGTCTCTTCTACCCAAAAATAAGGTAACTTTTTGCTTATGACCTTAACAATATTATTATTTTGTGACTAGCACATAGAAAAATGCTTATACTCATCTGTCCCACTAGCCATTCTTCAAATCATCACTTACTTTCAGAGCTACAGCCTCCAGATTAATCTTCATATCCGACACTTCCATGTGTGTCAGATGCAAGTGATTTCACCCAATGTCATTACAGGACACAGCAGTGACCTAAGGGCTTGCAGATGGAAACACAACATGAATTGGGGACAGAAACTTTTCACAAACCCAGAACTGTGTTAGATGTGTAGATTTTATAGTAGACTGTAGCACTGCAACAGATGAAAAACACAGGAGGAATGGTTGGTGGGATGGGTGAGCGTAAACAATCTTCTATTGCAGGATGTATTTTCTTTTCATTTTCTTTTTTTTTTTAAACAAAAGCGATGTTTTCCTCTAAGTCTAGATAAGTACTCCCCAAACTGCAGCCCTGTACGTGCATATATATTTGGCTCTTGGGGCACTCTTCCTCTTATTGACACCATAAATGAGGTAATATTGTGCCCCTCCAACACAAATAATCAGGCATTATTCCTTCAATTAACCACAATAATGGGGCACAATTCCTCGAACTGAAACCAGTGATGGGGCACTATTCCTCCCCATGACACCAATGATGGGGCACAATTAATCCCACTGACACCAATGATGGGGCACTATTACTCCCTCTAAATCCGATGATGGAGTACTATTCCTCCCATGAACACCAACAATGGGGCATTATTAATCTCAGTAAAACTGATGATGGGGCATTATTGCTCCATCTTACCACTAACTGAGGAATTTCTTACTCCTACTGACCTCAAAGCATCACATTTTCCCACTGGTCACAGTCTGGCCCACATAAAGTCTTATGACACTGAACTGATGCTTTGTTTTTGTGGCCTGGCCTTTGCCTTATTTATTGACTACACGTTTTCTCTTTTCCTCGAACAGTACATACTTTCATCTTTTACCAGGAATATTATAGATTTTGTCTGTACCAATAATAGTTGATTAGATTGTAGAAATTGAGGAGGACTGGATGCTAGAGGAGGGGACTGATTTGTGGTTGTTATATTTTTGCCTATAATTTTGTTTAAAGTGTTACTAAACCCACAACAGTAAAATCAGCCTGTACATGCAGTAAAGCATGCTTGTTATACTCATTATGGAACCTTAGGGGTTTATCCACTGCATTGTGTAAAAAGGCTGTTTGATCCTGTCTTCTGTGATCCTCCCTTTCTTTTGCTGTCCCCAATCCATCTGCCTGTCAGGGCAGGAGCGGTGGAATGGACGGGCAGGCCTAATGGTAGGGTCACGCACTGACTGACGACAACCACCACCCACAGACCGGAGTCCCTCAGGGCGCGGAGTCTAAGCCCCAGGCTGCCTTTCACCAGGGCCCCTGATGGTGGGGATGGACTTGACGCAGCCAGGGACCAGGTCGCGGCCCCCGAGTAACCCCAGCTGCGGTAATGGCCGCCGCCAGTGGCGTATAGCTGGTGGGAACCAGATGGGAAACGATAGCGTAGTCGGACAGGCCGGGTCGATAACAGCGGGACAGACAAGACGGTAGGCAAGAATACACAGGTCACGAGCCGGGTTCAGCAACGGGAGGTCAGATAAAGGGATAAGGCAGAGAATAGTCTTAGTCAAAGCCGAGTCGGTTTCCAGGAGAACAACAAGAGTAGGACCAGAGCTTGCTGCAACACAATCATACAGGACACAAATGCAAAGAGCAAGTGCAGACAACAGGCTTAAATGTGATCAACCACACCCCTCTGGAGGAGGGAACGCAGAGGCCTGAAAGCATAAAAGCCTCCCACCATGCTTTGCAGAAACCTAAGATGGATGCCAGCACATGGAGCAGCACCAACTCTGAGGAAAGGTAGGACCTTGACACTGCCATAGTTAGAGCAGCAGTGGCAAGTCTGCACATGCTCTGTTTGGTGTATATTGCTAGAGGGTTTTTTTGGGAGGGTGCATGTGATCGGCACAGGGCCAATCAGCACTGTCCAAACAGAGGGTCAGGGGTTATGCAGCCTCATAGGGCAGTCAGGGGAGAATGAAAGTCCTCCTACAAGATCAACCAGTGCTCAGGTGGACACGGAAGGAAGTCACAAGACTGCTATATACTGCTGCTGAGAAAAGGTATTTAGCAGTTTATATTTACTATAATAATTGCATTTCCATGTTTTGTGTCCTGTGGAAGACCAACTATAGCGAATGCAGGGTCCTGGGTTTAGTAACACTTTAAGGCACGGGTGTCAAACTGGTGGCCCTCCAGCTGTTGCCAAACTACAAGTCCCATGAGGCATTGCAAGACTGACAGTTACAAGCATGACCCCCAAAGGCAGAGGTATGATGGAATTTGTAGTTTTGCAACAGATGGAGGGCCGCCAGTTTGACACCCTTGCTTTAAGGGGTGAATAGACTGACTTAGCAGTTTGTGGAAATTCCCATTCTCTGTAGTTACAATACATTAGTATGGTATAGTGCTTTGAACCCTTGCTAAAAAGTAGGTTGCTGAGACAACCTGTAGGCAGTTTAGCATAACAGACTGACAGACGTAGACTACAGAGGCATTTTTACGGGAGAGAAGATGTCAGTCTATGCCCGATTTCCCAAGATATATTTATTTTGCCCGCTATACAGTACCTATTGATATCATACAACCTATATTTTAAAGCATCAGTGCAATCTTCACATTGGTGATGAGTCAGTTTATTGCAGTAATATCCTAAAGAGACAGCAGTGACAGGTGAATTGTAGCAGGAGCCATATTACAGTACCTGTAGTAGCGATCATCTCTGTATGGTGTCAAGTCTTCTTTCAGTTCCTTGTATGCATCACTGACCTTTTTGCAGAAGTCTTTGAATTCATTACATAGGGCACTTTCAAATGCTGCATAATCTGGATCCATCCTGCTATATTTCACCAGCCATACATCAGGTGAAGTGGAAGAACCGGGAATCACTGATAGGATAGGGGGTTGTCTACAATTCCCATTTATTTGCTTTCAATGTCCTTTGACTTCTATGTCATCTGATTCTTCTTTCTGTTTGCTTTTGTTTTTCGCTTCCTGAACGCCTTATTGAATTAAAGCAAGCCAGCTGCTTCGTCTCTATGCAGAAGCAAGTGATGCTGCTAAGGGGGAGTGTAGTGCTGTGTGCAAGGAGACCACCCACAGGATGCATCATAGAGATAGTGCTGCCATCTATGCAGGTTTCCATAGGAATTACATCATGAACCACATGACAGCAGAGCTGGATGCTGGAGCTAAAAGAACTGATGAGAAATCCTCCACCAGACTTGTGTATTTATTTAACCTCATCCTATCCAGATGGCTTTGTTTTATTTGCAAGATTTAAACCCCTAAGCCTTCCGTTTTAATGTCAAGCAGTTAGGTGCATTAAAGCTGAACTCCGGGACAAGCAAATATTGTCTAAATACAAGAGTCCTGTGTATTCATCCTTGCATCTTAGAGCTCGTTCACACTTGACTTTATTTCTAACCAGGGGCAGACTGACCTTTTGGAAACTTGGGCACTGCCCGAGGGTTCGGGGTCAGTAGGGGGCCCCATGAGATGCCCCTAGTACCTTTTTCATAGGCTTTTTTGAGTTTGGGCAAGGACACAGGGGCCTCATGATTCCCTATTGCCCGGGGGCCCCATGAGTTGTCAGTCTGCCCCTGTTTCTAACTCTTGCCAAACGCCCCTATAGCATTTGACAGGCGTTAGACAGACATTTAAAAAACAAACTGTAGTGAGCGCTCTAATATAACTGAAGCAGCTAGAACACCTAAGGCAACCACAATGCCTATGGAATATAAGTATAAAGATAAATAAAATGGTGCAGCGCTTGTAAATAGATCCAATGCCGAAAACAGCAAGAAAGCAGCAAGAAAAACAACAACCTGAAAGTCAATCAAGTATCCTTGGTACTCGCAGGGGTAGTGAGGATATATCCAGAGCTATACTGCCTCAAATTATAGCAATGCGCACTCACCAGAAACGCATGGATTATGCGCATGTAACAACGATCATCCTAGATGATGGATCCGTCATAGAGCAGGTGGTGGGCATCCCTCTCATGGTTGGTCATCCAGGGCTCCAACTCAGGTCCAGAGATCCCCTTAAGGTCAGCCAAGTATAATGAAGTTAAATGAGAATTAAAAAAATCAAATTTCATCATAAATGTTTGGCCAAAAAGTATTTTGCTACGTGTCTGTGCTAAAAAAAAAATCCCAGTATGTGTAAATGAATTGGTTTACATGAAAGTTTAGTAGCGTTTACAAATGGCAGTATATATACTGGAATTTTTTTCATTATTTTTTTTACTAGTAATGACGGCGATCAGCGATACAGGACTGCATTGGGCATTCTGACACTGGGGGGGAACTGACTTGATGTCACTAACATCCCCAGTGACACCAATACAGTGATCAGTGCTAATAAAAAACACTGACACTGTACTAATGGCACTGGGCAGGAAGGGGTTAACATGTGGGGCGATCAAAGGGTTAACTGTGTGCTGTATGAGTGCTTTCCACTGTAAGCACACTGATTTGTTCAGTATGGCTCTGCTATGCAGAGCCATACAAAACAGTGTGCGGGAGGTGACAGGGAAAAGATCTGTGTTGTTTATACACAGGTCTCTCCCCCGTTGGAGATTATATATTGTGACAGTAGGCAGGTGAAATCACCTGGTTGCGTCCTGGATGGACGATATATTTGTCCGAGATTCAGGGTTTATGGGGATTTGTACCACTAGAGGGAAGTGCTGAGTCCTTCAGCACTGAGATAATGAGCCCAGCTGAAGGTAGTGGGCTCATTAACACTTGTATAAAGCTTCCCAGAGTGCTTAGGGAGTTGCTCCACCCTGGAACCAGATCTGTGCCTGAACTGTCTGGGGAGCTGACCTGTTATCTGTGTGCAGAGAGACCAAAGCCTGTGTGGCTAACCTCCCAGTACTAGCAACTAGGTATAGCAGCAGGCTGTACCTAGTGGGTAGCTAGGGAAAAGCTGTTGTTGCAGTAAGTAGCCAAGTTGGCCAGGATTTATTTTGATGTCTCTTTTTGTTTATCATTTTTTCTGTAAATATTGTAAATAAATTGCACCTGTTTGTTTTCACCTCCACTATTGTTGTGCTGTGCCTATCTTTTTTTGTTGTGCACCCATCCAGGGGGTCACACACACCCGCTGCCGAGCTAACCTTGTTACATATGGTGGAGGACGGCGGGCAGTTGTGGTAACTAAAGGCCAGCATGGAGGAGATAATCAGACAGTTGGCTCTGGCAAATGCCAATCAACAACAGGCAAATGCCAATCAACAGCAGGCAAATGCAAGTTTCCAGCAGAGCATTGCAGCCCAGCAGAAGGCCTTGGAACAAGCAGAGGTCCGCCATAGGGAATTGCTGGTGCAACAGGACCAGAAACACCAGAAACAAATTGAGGCTGTTTTGAAGCAGCTCCAGCAGAGGCAGCAGACTGAGGCTGGTGATGATTCTGGTAAAACACCATCATTTTCTGTGGGCCGTTTATTGCCAAAAATGACTGGAGAGGATGATCCGGAGGTGTTTCTAACCACCTTTGAAAGGACTGCTGAAAGGGAAAAGTGGCCTAAAGAACAGTGGGCTGGATTGATGGCCCCATTATTAACTGGAGAATCGCAAAAAGCTTACTATGACCTGGAGCCGGACCAAGCCAAAAACTATGATGTGCTAAAAGTGGAAATTTTGGCCCGGTTGGGTGTTACCCTCGCTGTCCGTGCTCAGCGGGTACATAATTGGACTTTTCGGCTTGGGAAACCTCCCAGGTCACAGATGTATGATCTCATTCACCTGAGCAGGAAGTGGCTGCAGCCAGAGACTTTGACCGCCCCAAAAATTGTGGAACGTGTCGTCATGGATCGGTTCCTAAGGTCTCTGCCTAATACTATTCAAAAGTGGGTCAGCCATGGAGACCCAGAAACTGCAGACAAGCTGGTGGATCTAGTGGAGAGATACTTGGCTACTGAGAACCTGACCTCCTCTTCCAGAGACTCACGGACTTTCCACCCTAAGACCAGACCATCCCCAGCGGCGGGTAAGATGACTACAAGGGGTGAGGGTGGAGAGAGTGAGAGGGTGGGAGTATTACCCAATGTCTGGCAAGAGCGGCCAGGAAGGCCAAGGCCGCAAGAAGCGGTGAAAAAAATTATTTGTTACCGCTGCCGGCAAGAGGGACATATTGCAGCTAATTGCCCAGTGGTGGATGAGCCTATGCAGTGTGACTTTCTGAGCAATAGACGTCAGTCGCTGTTTGCGACAGTGGTATGCACGGCCAGCCCGGGCACTGAGAAACATTTGTGCAAAATGACTGTTAATGGAAATAATATTGTGGGGTTGCTGGATTCAGGTAGCTTGGTAACCTTGATAAGAGAGGAGATGGTCACTACAAAGGTCTCTGGGCATAAAAAGGTGGCAGTGATTTGTGTGCATGGGGACACTAGGGAGTATCCCGTGGCTACTGTGTTTTTTGAGACCCCCAAAGGTAACCTGTCTCATCAGGTAGGATTGGTACCTCATTTACCACATGATGCCATTGTGGGGAGGGATTTTCCAAAATTCTGGGAACTCTGGGATTGTTCTGACCCCCCCACTGTCTCCCCTGCAGACCAGGAAGGTGAATCCCAGAAAGCGTCTGAGTGTGGTGAGGTCTCTCCCAAGTTCCCCTTGTCGGTACTAGCTGGGGAGACCCAAGGAACTGGGGAGGAGCCCACCTCCTCAGATGAAAATCTGCCGGTTTTGGATTTCTCGGACTTAGAGGTGCATAGGGAAAATTTTGCCACCGAACAGCTGAAAGACCCCACGCTGATAAAAGCCCGGGAAAATGTAGTAAAAGTAGATGGCCAACTAGTGAGTCCTGAGAAAACTGCTGCTTATCCATACTTCCTTGTGGAAAGGGACCTACTCTATCGAGTTGCTCAGGGGGCAGAAGAAACCATTGAGCAACTGGTGGTGCCCAGACCTTACAGGAAGTTGGTGTTGGAGTTGGCCCATGGACACATCCTTGGGGGTCATTTTTGGGGGCGGAGAAAAAACACGGGAAAGAGTACTGCAGCGGTTCTATTGGCCTGGGGTCATTAAGGAGGTGGAAAATTACTGTTCCTCTTGCCCTGTGTGTCAGAAGTCGGCCCCTATGCCCCATTTCCGTAGTCCACTGGTACCTCTTCCCATCATTGAGGTCCCCTTTGAAAGGATTGCCATGGATTTGGTAGGTCCGCTGGTGAAATCCGCTAGGGGGCATCAGTACCTGTTGGTCATACTCGACTATGCCACCCGCTATCCAGAAGCAATTCCACTCCGAAATACCTCTGCCAAGACAATAGCTAAGGAGCTATTCCTCGTTTTCAGCCGAGTGGGTATTTCAAAGGAACTGCTGACGGACCAGGGAACCCCCTTTATGTCCCGGGTGATGAAAGAGCTCTGCAAACTGTTCAAGGTAAAACAGTTGCGCACCTCTGTGTATCATCCCCAAACTGACGGGTTGGTGGAAAGGTTCAACAAAACCCTGAAACAAATGCTAAGGAAGGTGGTAGATAAGGATGGAAAGGGTTGGGATTATTTAGTACCCTATTTGATGTTTGCCATCCGGGAGGTACCCCAGTCCTCCACAGGGTTTTCACCATTTGAGTTGCTCTATGGGAGACACCCAAGGGGGCTGTTAGATATCGCCAAGGAAACTTGGGAAAGTGAGAGTTCTCCCCACCGGAGTGTGATTGAGCACGTCGCCCAAATGCAAGATAGAATTGCCCAGGTCATGCCTATCGTAAAGGAACATTTGTCCCAAGCACAGTTAGCGCAGCAGAGGGTGTACAATCGGGGGGCCCGGACCAGGTCGTTTGCTGAAGGAGATAGAGTGCTAGTGCTAATCCCTACGGTTGAAAGCAAATTCCTGGCCAAATGGCATGGCCCATACGAGGTGATTGAGAAAGTGAGTGAGGTGAATTACAGGGTCAGACAACCAGGAAGGCGGAAACCGGAGCAGATCTACCACATCAATCTGCTAAAGGCCTGGAGGGACAGGGAATCCTAGTTGCTGAGGGTTTGTCACCAGCGCCATCTAACTGCTTGGTTCCGGAGGTTGGAATAGCAGTCACCTTGTCTACAATTCAAAAACAGGAGGCTAAAGAGTTTGTGCTCCGCAACACAGAGGTTTTTTCTGAGCTGCCGGGACAAACCTCGGGGGTGGAGCATGACATTATCACCCCACCGGGTGAAAGAGTAAAACTGAAACCCTATAGAATCCCAGAGGCTCGACGGGAGGCAATACGTGGGGAAGTACAGAGAATGCTAGATTTGGGGGTGATAGAGGAGTCCCAAAGTGACTGGTCCAGCCCCATAGTGTTGGTGCCCAAACCAGATGGGAGCTGGCGATTTTGTAACGACTTTCGACAGTTGAATAAAGTTACAAAATTTGACACCTACCCCATGCCAAGGATAGATGAACTAATCGACCGACTGGGAGCAGCCCGGTACATGACAACACTAGACTTGACGAAAGGTTATTGGCAAATTCCCCTAGCTAAGTCGGCAAAGGAGAAGACTGCATTTGTAACCCCAGAAGGGTCATTCCAGTATAAAAGAATGCCGTTCGGGTTACAGAATGCACCGGCCACCTTTCAGCGAAAAATGGATCAGATTCTTCGTCCCCATCAGAAGTATGCTGCAGCGTACTTGGACGATGTGATTATCCATAGCGCAGACTGGGCCTCACATTTGCCAAAAGTTCAGGCTGTGCTAGACTCAATATGGAAAGCTGGGTTTACGGCCAACCCAAAGAAGTGTACGATTGGACAGGAGGAGGCCAAGTACCTGGGGTACACTATTGGGAGAGGGGTAATAAAACCTCAGATAAACAAAGTGGAAGCAATACAGAATTGGCCACGCCCAAATAACAAAAAGCAGGTACGGGCTTTTCTAGGAATTGCTGGCTACTATCGGCGATTCATTCCCCATTTTGCTTCTATGGCAGTACCCCTAACCAACCTGACAAAAGGGAAGGAGTCTGTCATGGTTAAGTGGTCCCCTGAGGCTGAAGCAGCCTTCCTGTCTTTAAAAAGGGCCTTATGTAGCCAGCCAGTCCTATACTCACCAGACTTCTCAAAAGACTTTGTGGTCCAGACAGATGCATCCAATGTTGGCTTAGGAGCAGTGCTGTCCCAGGTTTGGCAGGGGGAGGAGCACCCGGTAATCTATCTCAGCCGAAAGCTAAAGTCTCACGAGGAAAATTACGCCACGATTGAGAAGGAGTGTTTAGCGGTAAAGTGGGCCCTAGATTCCCTTCGGTACTATCTGCTGGGCAGACATTTTGACCTGATCACAGATCACGCTCCCTTGAAATGGATGGCTCAAAATAAGGAGACCAATAGAAGGGTAAATAGGTGGTTTCTGGCCCTACAGGAATTTACCTTCACGGTGAAGCATCGCCCCGGTGTTCAGATGGGAAATGTGGATGCTTTATCCCGGGTACATGCCTGCCTGGCTACTGGTGTTACAACCCCAAGGTTG